ACCAAAGCGTTAAGGAACAGATTCTCAGGTATTGATGCTCCAGCTAAAATGCTAAGGAAATATAAAGAATAAAATTGAACAGAATAATTTTAAAATGTGCTGATTCAATTTCATCCTGTAAAACTGATAAGAAATACTACACCTTTCATAGAAAACCTATATTGAAGACCTAATTCTATTATTTATTTCACTTCTCTACTAGCTACAAAAATGCCCAAGTAGATTACATTGTACAATGTGGTGGGATAGTGTCCCTCCATCTTTCCATCCTTATATTTGAACTTACTCTATAAATAATTACTATCATCTCTGGCAACATTACAGACTTCTCAAGAAAAAGGGTCTGAAAGAGACCTCAACACCCAAGTTGACTGCTCTAGCAAGTAGACCACTGGATAAAAGTCTCCTGTTCCAGCACTTCCGTCAATCAAGTTCTTTGTTTCTTTCGGTTGTTTAATGGTATCATTAACTAAAAATGTAACAAACCATCCTAGAGCAAACAGCATTTTCCATTAAGTGGAAACTGTTCTTCCCTGGTTATTGCTTTCCTGGAGAAACCTCTGCCTTTCCTACCACCAAGATGTTCCCTACACTAAGGCTTAATTTTGCCCTCAGCCCAAGCCAAATATTATACACACAATTGCTTCTGTTTGGCTGTTGAGTTTGAATGAGTTTAAATTGCTGAAACTCAGCCCCAGGGAGGAGCTGGATGATCTCCTTTTGAAGTAATCTGTACATTTTTGCTTTTCAAGAATTTCTATAAATCCCTCTTTGGATTCACAGTTTCTTTAAAAATGATTAATTGTTGTTAGTTATTCTGCATAAAGCCCTAATTTCACGCATATTAAACATATGAGCTCATAGTAGTGCCCTGTCCTTCACTTACAAGGAAAGGTCTCAAATACTTTCTTTTTCTTCAGGAAAGATGTTTTTTTTTTTTTTTTTTATTTGGCAGAAGAGAAGCACTGGTTCCTCTGTTTCAACAAGAAATCCCAAAGATATGAGATTATGTTATTCTGAGGTTTCTGTTCTCCTCTGAAATGTAAGTAGCAGTTACAGTCTTCTTGCAGTGAAATAACAATAGATCTGCAGTCTGGGCTGCTCGTATGTGTCAAGAGGCTTTATGGTACATTGTGCAATGCACTACATTCAATAGAATTTGTATGAATCTGTAGTTATTGCACTTCTTGCAAACTAACAATATAGATTTAAAAATCTATAAATAGACAACTGTGGAGAAACAGGGAATCATGACTGAACAGACCTTTATTAATCCATTGTTTAAAAAATAATCTTCAGTCCTGTCAGCCACAGACTTCTGGGTAAAAAATCCAAGTAAATCACTTGGTTTGCTTTTGGATGCCAGTATTCCACAGGCAAAGAGACTAAATTAAGTTGGAGTCGTGTGTGTCAGTTATTCCACACAGTCAAAATAAATCATCAATTGACCACATACATTCATTGAAAGTTAAGTCAGGATGTAGCTCACAACATTAACCAAGGTGAAATTATACCTACTAGAAAAATGTGTTGCTTTTATGTATCAGAATTCTACAAGTATAAATTCATGCTTAATATTAACTGGTTTAGCAGAGATGTTCACCCCTACAGCAGCGTGCAACCCGTAGGCTACTGGTACTAGTGTTTTGATAGTTCAATATTAATAGACTTTACAAGCAATGGGACTTTGCTGATTTTTCTCCATCTTTTCTTGTAAAGAGAGCTCTGAGGTTATGACGCTACAGGTGTTTCAAGGAAGTACAGCTGCACCTCTCTGCTCAGCCCCAGATTTACTCCAGCTTCTTACAAAACGTAGCAGAGTTCAGATCAGAGACACATAAAAGTTACTGCAAGATAGGAGGAATGTGATCTTACAGTCAGCTATTCCACAGTAACAACCTATGTGCTCAATATATATGTGAGATAATTTATGTTTTTTTTCAGTGAGAAGTATGTGCACACAGGCAGTTTCTACTGAATTTACTGCATGGCAGTTTTCTGATTCTGATGTCACAAATTTGTGAACACAAACTCCTAGGTGTCTATTGTCCATTTAAGGAAGCAAAATTTTTATGTATTTTGCGGTATCTGATCCTTATTTTTTCAATAATTCATGGCCTTCTTTGCATAAAGAAAGAAGTTATGGCGATCCTGCTTTAGCAGGGGAGTTGGACTTAATGATCTCTATGGTCCCTTCCAACGCTAAAAATTCAGTGAAATCACTTACGAAATCATACACAGCTCCCTTCAGCCACCTGCATATCTACCAAATGGGTTTCGCTCGTTTTCAGCTTGGCACAACAATTCTTAACTCTGAATGACCTGCAATGAAGATGACTAACAGGAGCCTTCCTATTTCCAACCACGAAGTCTCAGCATACCTAAAAAAGAATGCTTTCGCCCATCGATCAAGGTATACATTTAAGATGAAACTGTCTTCACAGTGGATCTCCACAGACAGCAAAGGAAGCTTTGTACAGAGAGGGGCAGTCTAGTGCTCTTCTGTGGTCATTGAATTTGGTATTTTCAGAACAGTAAAGCAGTTAACAGGACTTCAGTTGTCTTTGACTGCTTTGAAAAAATCCCTGTCCCACGTCTTAATCTGATTACTGAAACCTACTTTTTATCTGTTGCATCCAACATTATGCAATGAAAAAAAAAAGGATAGCCAAGAATTAACGCTCTTGCTGTTCAACGCATCTTGATTTTAATTTCTTTCTTTTATTGGTGTTCTTTCCTCATCCTACCACAATGCACAGTGCAGAAATACAACCTGGTAGAAGACATCACATTGCACAAATTTAGCTCTCAGTAGGAAAAAAGCTAGCTCTCCAGACTAGTGACATTTCTGTTTAGAAGCCGAACGTATCTTTTGCACACAGTCTACATTTCAACTCCTTGGAAAAAAAAACAAAAGAGCTCTTATCTGAGAAAGAATAGATTATACTGAAGCTGCCTTGCAATGCAAAATTTACCAGGTCTAAGATGGTGGATTCAAGTTGCCTTTACCTATGTGCCTGGGGATCAAAAACCTTTAGGCAGTAACTGGTCTCATCCCTGGCAAGTGTGATTGCTTAATCTCAGGCTGCTTTAATCCCAGGATAGACGGGAATCTGCAAATCAAGCTTGTACAGCCAGGCATGACTCATTTATTGAGGAGAAGGTGTCCAGGGAAAGCAGGTGTGACTCATAGTAGGGATTAGCTACTTTTAAATCAGTTCTTACCTGTGTAGTTATGTAGAATTTGTCTTCTTTTGTTAAAATCAAGGATGGTGATACTACCTAACATCAAGAATACAGCCTTCATTTGAAGAGGCCAAGCACTCACATTCAGATTTTACTATTAGCTGCACTGCACAGGATGGTGTAAACAAGAGATAGAGCACTCCCAGCTGTTAACTTGAACGGCTTATTAAGGGCAATTCTTAGCATATTTCTCACTAAAATGATTTTCCAGTACCAAAATTTGGATAGTACACAAAATAAATAATCCTAACTTTAGGCTAGAGCAACAAAAGATTAAAGGCATGTTAAAGCCTAAAGAGCTTAAATTCCACCTAGTCGCTGCCTGAAGCTTATACGAACTCTGCTTTATGCATTAAAGCCTTCCAGGGGCCTCAAATCTGATTTGTGGACATGTCCATGATTGTCCAAATCCTGTGGCTGCAATGTCTATCTCAAATTGAAGCATCCATCAGGTTCAAAACAAATAGGTATACCTTTACCTGTCTGTAAGCATAAGCACATTTAGTGGATTAGGCATGTGAGTATTAATATCGAAGGCTACATTTAAAGTCACAGTAAGCACTGAAGCCATTTCTATCTTAAACCAACACTGTTCATCATTGGATGACATGGCTTTTCTCTCCTCACCCACCACATTCAGAGCTACATCTCCCCCTCAACTGCACTAAACCACCCAATAGCACGGTAAGAGCTAAATGCAGAAAAATAAAAGCCACTTTGAAATCCTTAATGAATGCATTCACAATCCTGTGTTTATGGCATCAATTTCATCTACCAGTTTCTTGCATTTGCTCCAAGAGATTCACATACTGTCATTTCACAGTGAGTAGCAGTTACCAAATGAAGGTCTCTCTCAAGGGGACTGTGCTCTGAAACTACTCACTATTCAGCTATAATCACACCATCAGGCATGGTCAGTGTGGCTTCTCCAGCTGAGCCAACCCAAACAGAGCTACTTGTTTTAGGTATGTTTCTTAATGCTTTGAAAACAGGAGAAAAAATAGAAGTATTAGAATCTGGACAAGGACCATGAGATCTATGATCAGACTGGTTGAGGTTGGAAGGGACCTCTGGAGACCATCTGGTCCAAGCTCCCTGCTCAAGCAGGTCTGCCTACAGCTGGTTGCTCAGGACTGTGTCCAGCTGGGTTTTGAGTATCACCAAGGATAGAGACTCCACCACACCTCTGGGCAACCTGTGCTGGTGCTTGGTCACACTCACAGTAAAAAAGTGCTTCCTGATGTGCAGAGGGAACGTCCTGTGATGAAGTTTGTGCCCACTGCCTCTGGTCCTGTCACCTGGCACCACTGGAAAGGGCTTGAGCTCAGTCCTCTTTGCATCCTCCCTTCAGGTATTTATACACATTGATGAGATTCCCCCTGAGCCTTCTCTTCTCCAGGCTGAACAGTCCTGGCTCTCCCAGCCTTTCTTCATAGGAGAGATGCTCCAGTACCTTCATGATCTTTGTGTCCCTTTGCTGGATTCTCTCTTGTAGCCCTGCCTGTCTCTCATCCCGGGGAGCCTAGAACTGGACACAGTACTAGAGGTGTAATGAAAATTACAAGGTAAAACTTTACACTTAAAATAATAAACCAAGAGAAGAGGAAGCATAAAACTGAGAAATCTAACAAATACAAAAAATACTTAAATATCCAAAAGTGTAGAGAGGCAATACATTACTATCACACCTCAAGAAAAACCAGCAAAACAGCAGAAATTGATCCAGGTATCGAAAAGAAGCACTGACAGCGTTATATTCTAAGCTGAGTATTTGTGTATGAGTGTTCTTTATTGCATTACTGTCTTTGCTTCTCTACAAGAGAATGGCAAAAAAATACAGATCTGGCATGACATCATTATGCTCAAGTCCTCACATCATGACAATTCCTCACAGTTTTCCAATGGCAGCAGCTTTTGACCAGTAGCGAGGTGAACTAAATTCAGACCAGTCACCTGGAAGTGAAGGATATTATGCTTCTCCTACAAATGCTACTCTCTCTGGCTTGTTTTCCGTTGCAGTGTTCACAGAAAACAGACCAAATCAACAAGACAATAACAACGCACACAACGCAAAGAAGCTTCAAATAAAATGCAGGAAGCCTACTTTATGACTGTCTTAATTTCACTTTAAATTATACTAGTATAGAACAGAAACAATTTAGAATCTCTAATACTGGGGTAAAAGAAAAGTAGTTACAATGGTACTGTTTTATTTCAGGTACAGAAGGGCTCTGTTAGACTTGGGGCGCAGAATAACTGAGGGTATTAACATCTATTCCCTGCTCACCACAGACTACTAAGGCAACTTTGGGCAAGTTACCATCTCTGCTTTATCAGTGAAATGGAGATAGGATTTTTCTGCCTCATAGGCAAGACTAAAATTAATGTCTAAACTGCCTGAATAGTTAGGAGTTTTATATTAAATATTAAAATTAATCTAAAGAAATTTAAACAGGTAAAATATAAAAGAAAAAAAAAACCCTTCCACTAACAATTCTGAGCTATTACCTAAACGATATATAAAATCCCTCTAGAAAAAAAAAAGTATGAATCCATTTAATTACCTCCCTAACTTGTGAAGTTTGCTTATTATTTCCTGCCCTCCAGAGTATACACGCATCTCCATACATCTTTCCAGAACAGTAAACAATTCAAAAAGTTTCCATGACTGAAGAAGCTGTGGTCAAACATAAGAGAAGGGCTTGTTTGTGCCTGGGAGCATGGGAGGCAGAAAGAAAAGAAACAATTAAGACAAACCAGGTTAGTAAGGAAGGCACTTAATAAAGAAAAGAAGAGCATTTGCAATAATTTATTTCCTGTTCCTTTAGATCTCAAAGGCAAGCAAGGGAGAAGTGAGATTTTCTTGGAAGATGGAATGAGGTCAAGGAGTTAACTCATGCATGCACTCATCAAGACCTTTCCAAAAATAATGGAAAGTATTTTTTCATGGAGAAAAAAAGGATTTAAAGGAATCATGGAGACACTCATAATTGACATGAAGCAGAGAATATGGAAGGTGATCAGTCTGTAATAGTATGATGTAAGCAGGAATGGAAACCTGAAAGTTTTAGGTTAAAATGCTTGGTAAATTCAAAGCACAAGTGGTAAAACCAGATTAAGAAAAACAGTTAAATGCAGTATCAGGAAACACTGTAGGTTTACGGGGCGTTTCAGAGCATTGGTTTTTCCACACTTGTATTCACATATAGGTATCTGAATAATTAGCAGTTTGATGATACTGACATACCGAAATACTGAAGAAGTCCACTGCACAGTCAATTACTTCGGTATTCAAGTATGCCAAATAAATGCAAAAATGTAATGGGAAAGCAGCTGCAAATGCATACTAATTTAGGAAAACAGAGCTCCCTCAGTCCCCTGAAGGCGAGGGTGTCACAGAGGTAGGTTGCTGACATCAGTGAAGACCTTGGGCAGCCTTAAATTTTAGTGTGAACTTCAATCTCATTATAACTGGTTCTTATATCACAGTGTTTCTGTGGAGAAGACAAAGTTGTGTAGCATTAAGAATAAAAAGCAACTTATTCACAGATAATAAATTTTATGGTGACAGAATGAATGTTTTTTCTGTGGTTGCCTACTGTAAAGAGGCCAGGAGACAATGACTATAAAATGCAAAAGTTATTATGATCAGGCTATGTAGCAACATTAGGAAGGATTAACCAACATACCAATATAAGTGCTCTTAAATGAAAAATAAATAATTTACAGTTACTTTGTGGACAAGCCCTTATTCTTGTTTCATAGACAACACAAACCCAATGCACACATACAGTACAGAAGATCCTAAGACAAAATTTTGTAAGAAATGGAGGTTTGTAAGGTTCTATTACTTGCATGTACTATAAAGCTTATTAAAAAAACTCCACAAACAGCAATTCACTGAAATGAAAGTTTTCTTAATGTCTCAATGAAAGCACGAAGCTGCAGAGACCATGACAGGTGACAAATTATGAACTCTTCTCACTTGTGCATGCATTTTTGTTAACACGCTTACATGTTGTTGATTAGCAAGTACTAGACTCACCCCTGTGAAAATAAAAATCTGACTCTTAAATTTATGCTACTGACACTAAGCCTACAATATTAAATTGTCTACAAAAATAATGTTTTAAAGTACACCTGTAAAACAAAGCATACATTTCCATAGTTAAGAAAGTGAATAAAAAAATAAATCAGAATTTCCCCTAATGTGTGTTCCATTATGTCTTGTATACAACAGAGAAGAAATTAAAATGTAAATTATTGTGAACACTACACTTTCCAAAGAGAGAAAATAGAGACAAAACTGGATTATATAAACTGTTCAGCAACCTACATACTACATTTGAATTCTAGTCAGAAACTTTAGGATTGACTTCTTGTCTATTTATATAAAACAGATTCTAAATGAATTATATTTACTATGACTTTCTGCATGTATGGTACTTTTCACATAAATTGGTTTCCTGAAGTTCAGTAATGTTTAGCAACAGAGTGAGTTTACAGATGGCAAAGCTGAGACTTACCAAGTTCCACCAAACCAGCCAACAGATCAGTAAATGTTCTGTAATTACTTTCTATTCAAAGGTTCAAAACCTGCCCCTCTTTTAAGCTTGATAGGTAACTTAACCTCATTGGAAAGAGCAACTTCATTTCTTGAAAAGTATGCAAGGGAATAAAAGAGTTGATAACTATTACAGGGAAAGAAATGTGCATCAATCCCCTTGACTTGGGCAAATACAGTCTTGCATCAAATTTGGAATTGTAACCCTTTCTCATATCTTATCATAAAACTTTGGCTGCAACATAAAAATGGATAGCCATGGTAGGCCACCCTTCTCTTTCAAGGTGTATCTGTTTGTCAAATTCACACCCCTCTACCCTCTCCAGGAAACAATCAACCATACAACAGCTGGGAATTTAAAAAAAATAAATTGTCCCACACAATAAATTCTCATAACCTGGCAAGACTGAAAGACTTTGCTGACACAGCAGAGTAGCCTGAGTGCTGGAAACAGTGCACTTCAGTTAGTGTAGCTCTTCACCTATTTGTCTCATCATGCTAAGATGGCTATGTTATTCCATGTTCTTTTTTATAACATACTTAATATAGCATATGCTACCTACCAACTCAATAGGCAAAATTTAAGGCACATTTCATGTCTGTGCTTTGATAACAGGCTCCTTGGAACAGCAATTCTTCCTAAATGTCTGAAAAACATTTTGCACATTTTGAAAACCTTCATAAACTAGTATTTTTCGCAGAAGGCAATCCTGTGAGATATTTCTATTCTTCATACATTCTTCCTGACGATACAATTCTATTATCCAATTTACTTTTGTCTAATTTGAAAGAACACACACCAAGATGCATCTAAGGGACACAACAACAAAGTCATGGCCACATGAGAAAAACGAACTGTAAGGTGATTAGTATTTTTAAAGTGCTACTGTTAAGTATATAAAATGAAAGAGATGGCAAGCGATTCAAAAGCAAGTTGAATATCAAAGTCAGAGAGACAAATGGATTTAAGTGTTTTTAAATTCATGACAAAAAAGACCGACTGGTAGTATACTGTCTCCTCCTGTTTTTAAATAAAGAGAATTGTAATCTGTACCCTAATCCTCTTAAGTTCATCACAGGACCACACACAGACTGACACAAAGATATTCAAAATACTTTAGCAGATGCTGTTATTCTTTACTCCAATACTGAAAAAGAAGAGTTTTGATTTGATGATACTTTAGAGAGCTTCCATGTCTCTCTACGCAACTATGATATGGATGGCCACAGGCCACTCGGAATTTTGTATTTCACCACAAATAAGCAAATAATAGCTTCTTACATTACTGTTTCAATCACGAATTTTTCATTCTATGTTTTCAGCCTGGTTCAGGCCTAAAAGACTGTTCCTCCCTTTTACAAGCACAAACTCTATCTCATTTTTGTTACTTGCAAGCAATCAAACAGAACACCATAAGATTTCCATAAAAATTTCAATGACTACAATAAATATCAAATTCTGTGATGATCTCATCAATAACTTCAAAAAAACCCCAACATTTTATTTAAAATGAAAAAGAGTGACAACATACCATATTCTAAACATTCCACCTTTAAAATTGCATTTTGGTCAACCAGTTCTGATTAGATTCCATTAAATGTTAATACAGTATTACATTTAAATTACCCCGCCTAGACAATTAACAAAGACAAAGAACCACTAATCTCAGATCAGCCGCATGGCCAATATTATAAAAAATGCCCACATTAGTCTTCTACTGTGTCCCCATTTGGAGCGCAGCTTCTCAGCAGTCTGCCAGGAGCTGCTGTCCTTCATTGCCTGATCAACGCCATCTGACAACGGCCTACAACACCTTCTACGATGAATTCAAGTGCTCTGAAGAAAGGGCTCACAAACATGTGCATTTCTAGCAGTCTGCAAGCAGACAATATGCCTTCAGCTCCTTTGGTTTTAATAAAATTCCCTTTGGAAAGTGAATCAGTTGAAGACTGTTCCAATAAAATAATAATAGTAAATCATAGTCTAGACAAGGCATAAACCACTGTCTATACAGTTTGTGATAACGTCCTTGTTTTTCTTTCTTCCACACTTTTTTTCCAAAAACCATGCAGTGCAGGTAGCTTGATTTTATCCATATTCTTACTGTAAACATTAAGAAATATACCAAGGACAACCAGCAAGCCTGACCACACGTACCTAAAGGGGAGGGGAAAAATAGTTAGCATTAGCACTTTATCTGTAGTGATTACATAGCAATAGTTGTGCATTAAATAAAAATAAAGCCCCTACATGAAGGAGAGAAGAGTTTAGGGGGAAAAAAAACCAAAAACACAAATTAATGGACTCAGAGAAAGAATTTGCTTGAATCTTTATTATTGCTATCCTTCTACCCTTCCTTTTCACACCCTGTCTGGAGAGCTTATTAAGGTGCATTTGTAGTTAAATAATAACTAAACAGTAGCTGTTCTTTCTCACATGAATAAAGTAGTCCTGAGGGGTTTTGGTATGTTTTTCCTTCCAACAGTTATGAGAGCTACGCTCTCTATTATGGCTCCAAAATGGGTTCTCTCTCAGTGCCTTACACTTCCCAATTTAAGCACATTTTGTTTCAGCTCTCCATTATTTTAAGCCTCAAGATTTTCAGCTGGAGTAAATTCCATTTGGGCATTTGGCTGTAAGCTTTGTTCTTAAATCTCAAATAAATGTATATATAGCAATAAAATTAAATACTATTTAGTTTCAAACCAGAGGCAATTAGGATCAATGTAGCTGCTTAGCTGCATTTTTCAATGTAAGCTCTTCCCTGAAATTAAAAAAAGGGAAGAAACCTAAGCTCAAAAATCTTGCAGTTTAATATATCAAGATAATAGAAGCTTGCAGTTATTTAACTCAACCTCAAACCTGAGCTCATAAAAGAGGAAACAAATACTGTAATGGAGAAAATGCCTTCCTTTAGCCTAGAGAAAGTACCCAAAAAATGTATTCAGTATCATAAGCACGAGAAATTATGTAAGATTTTTCTTAAAAAAAGCAAACAAAAAATGCCAACACATGCAATAGCTTGTCTTCCAGACCTTTAGAAAAATGGAAACTATTATCTCTAGTATGATTATCATCAACAAGCCAGTCAATATTTACAGCAGATGGCCAACATTTGTAGAAGATAAGAAATTAAAAGCATTAAAGCCTGAATATGATTAATTACTGTTGTTATATTCCCATGATCGAGAATGGAATTTTTGATAAAATATATAAAAAACCCATTCAAAAATAGAAATACTTACTGGAATGTGAATGGCTTTGCAAAGAACAAAAAAGAAAGCACAATGGTCATTGCTTTTCTTCCTGTTGTTACTGCAGAGGAAAACAAATATTTACTTCTTCAAAAATTCAGTTACAGCAAAAGAACATACTACAGTCTTCAGTATTAGTAGATAACCTTATCACGTAATTAAGTGTCTGGCTAAAACGATGATCATCCTTGGTACAAACATAGACCTGCAAATGCCCCAGTCCAGTGCAAAATAGTGCTAGAACCATATGCTCTTTGAAACAAGTACTCTGCATCAGTATTATCAGCTCTGTTCACAGTATCTGCAGCAGAGAAACTTATAGAACAAGACTTGCTATGTAATAGAATCATAGAATGGTTTGGGTTGGAAGGGACCTTCAAGATCATCAAGTTCCAACCCCCCTGCCCTGGGCAGGGACACCTCCCACTAGAGCAGGTTGCTCAAAACCCCATCCAGCCTGGTCTTGAACACCTCCAGGGACGGGGCATCCACAGCTTCTCTGAGCAACCTGTTCCAGTGCCTCACCACCCTCACAGGAAAGAATTTCTTCCTGATATCTAATCTAAATCTCCCCTCTTCCAATTTAAATTCAATTTTAATTATTTAAGTAATAACTTCATGCTAATCGATTCACAATATCTGAAAGCAACAAACAATCCTTGCAAGTAACTGACGGTATAAACTAATCTGTTAAAGCAGAAAGTAGTAGTATCACTATTTGGATACACTAAATCTTTTGCCATTTCCACCTCATGCTATTTCAGTTCAGTGGTGATTTGGGCTTCATTTTGAAGTGGAACGGGATAAGCATTGCATCATTCTTTTGAAGTTACTGAAAATTTATCTAACAGTGCAGAGAAATACAATTCCGGTTAGAAACCTAAGAGACCAAGGATGCTCGACTTCAATCATTATGCATTAGGAAGTTTTAGTCAAAACCATTGAGAGACCTTCTTCTACATGTGCTCTTACCACTAGTAAGAGCCAAGGTAGTAAGAAGAGTTGAGAACACAATCCTGTCACCAAAATAAAAGTAAACTGTTTGGGTTACTCTCAAATTAACTATAGCTCCAATAATGATTTCCATTCTATCTGCTATGAACAAGAATACAGCGTTGCTAGCAAATTGTGTAGTAGGAAACCCATATTTTTTATCACTGAAACAAAATCAATAAATGAGTCAATGTTACACAAAATATATTTTAAAAAAGCAACAATGCAACCAGACACACCAGTGTAGCTATGGAGGTTAAGGGCCTGAGAAGGTGTTATATGACAGTGCAGGCTGCTCACTTAACAAAGATCCCAGTACAACTGTCTGCACCTAAAGAAAAACTATGTTTTTTATTAAGAGAAAATATTTTGTTTACCACAAAGTACTTTTAACTACACCATACTAGAAAGCCTTACTTGTATAGTTACATCCACACTCTTCTTACTGTAACATACTGATAAAAGGAACCAATGACTACTGAATGCTGTTACGGTATTCATGCTGTTATGGCTAGTAAAGCCAGTTTCATTTTCCCCATTTTCCCCAACCCTCACCACAAATAAATATTTACTTAAAAGCATGTTTTGTGGTTGAAGAAACAGCCTTCACCATTGCTTTATCTGATCCAATCTCAACTTTTTAGTAACAATTTTCTTTACATTTTAAGAAATTTATGCGCATCAAATAAAATGATTTTCTATTACATGAAAAATTAAAGGAGAATGAAAAAGAAAATTGAGTTTTAATTAGAAAACAGTTTACAGATGAATAATTTAAAAAATGGTTAAATTACTTCAGTTTCTCTAATTACGATTATTTCTGTTCTTTCAAATCAGTTATTAATTAAAATATTTATGTAACCATTTCCTTCTAAATTAAGTGCCTTTTCTTCTTTTTCCCAATTAAGTCTGATAATTTCTCATTCTGCTAATAGAAATACAATTTTCATTAAACTCTTTCACCCCACTCCCACCCAAGAAGGGGGAGGGTGAATGGGGGGTGGGAGGGACAGTAATGAATGTGGTGTTCTTCCACGGCACAATAAACATTTTCACATTGCTACAGGCAAGACAGAAAGGTCTCAAGTGTTAGGATTGTCAAGGTCAGGCGTAAGAAAACCTGGGAAGGGTTTTCTATTCCACAGCATTTAAAAATATTTTTTAGCACATGAAGACTTTTTTAAAAAAAGCTATTTTAATACATGAACCAACCCTCTCATCTGGACCAATTTCCAGTAAGGAGATGTACTGAACAAACATGAAATAGAAATGCTGCAGAGGCAACAATTAATGGGAAAGCAGAGCATGCAGTCCTCAGGTCAGAAAACAACCGTCTGTATTCTCCATTCCACTACTGCGAATGAAGCAGAGCATCACTTGACAGAAACCAGCTTTCAGGGGTAGAGGGAAGAGAGGAAAGTAGCTCCAGATCCCCCGCATCTTGCTACACCTTTCCCTCCCAGGCCCTTGTGACTAATGTTTGTCATTTTAAGAAAAAATGAACTGTGGAAGGAATGAGCCTGGTGACATGCTACTGTAATGACTGTATAAATGATAGGAGAGGCTATTCAAGCAATGGCTGATTTTTTAAAAAATACAAAGAATCAGCAATGGCTGATTTTTTAAAAAATACAAAGTTACATTTTAAGTTTGGAAGCAACAACTTTCTACAGATGATCAATTTTATGTTCTATAGCAGTTGCATATAGTAAAGAGTAATAATTTTAGGGACAGCTTGAAAACAGGTATACAGTAAGATGCTAAAAAGTAATCAAGTGTCACGCTTTTCCTGTTTTTAGATACACAAAAAAATGTTAGAATCACAACTAATTACTGCTAAAATGAACAGCAGGGTCATTTTCCCTTATTCCACCTGCTGAGAATATTCTGATATGTAAACACTTCAGTCATATAACTGTTTTACAAACTCATGATGACACAGGTTAAAAGCATTCACTCGTAATACAGTTATGTCATTATCTGTAGCTAGCTTTGCCACACTCAGATAACGCAACAAACTAAAATATGCCACATCCTCACAAATACAGATGCAAGCCACAATAAATTAGTACGAGTTATTTCTGAACGACAATTTCTGTCGCATCTCTCTTACTAGCGATTCCTTTGATTTAATCATTTTCTATACTGCTTCCTCCATTAAGAATCTGAGGCAATGTATCAACAACATCTGAAGACATTTCCTTCTCTGAAGCCATATAGTTCAGTTTTAATATTTTTCATTGATTCTAAGGCACACATCAGCCAATGTATTAGTAAAGACCAAGCATAACCAGATGACATTACTTGCCAGTGCAGTGCTGAGGAAGCCACTGAGCACAATGAGTCTCATTCATAGAGAGCCAATCTCAGCTAGTAGGATTTCAATCTCTCCACATGATTTTTCCAGATGACTGGTTACTCAACGTGAAGAATATGTCCAGTTGCATACGGGGTAAGAGTCAAGTCTGAATATCTATAAAGGTTGAAAATCTATAATGGTTGTGACTGTCTCTTGCTTAACATCCTCCTTTTCCTCATCCATCTGGACACATACCTGGGGCATGTCAATGCAGATAGGTCTGACTTGCATTTATTGCTAGGAAATCATTACATTATTGGGTGAGAACATCATATCACAGAAACTTTTTATTTCTGCATGAACTGTCACAGCAACAGACAAGATTGTATATGGTGACTTTCTTAGCCTGGAGAGGATTCCAATAACTTTTATCATAGCATGGTTCCGGTTGGAAGGGACCTTCAAGATCATCGAGTTTCAACCCCCCTGCCAAGGGCAGGGACACCTCCCACTAGAGCAGGTTGCTGCCCCATCCAGCCTGGCCTTGAACACTTCCAGGGATGGGGCATCCACAACTTCTCTGGGGAACCTGTTCCAGTGTCTCATCATCCTCACAGTAAAGAATTTCTTCCTGGTATCTGATCTAAATCTACCCTCTTCCAGTTTAAAGCCATCACCCCTTGTTCTATCACTACATGCCCTTGTAAAAAGTCCCTCTTCAGCTTTCTTGTAGGCCCCCTTCAGATACTGGAAGGCTGCTCTAAGGTCTCCCCAGAGCATTCTCTTCTCCAGGCTGAACAATCCCAACTCACAGCCTGTCTTCAGAGGAGAGGTGCTCCCACCCTCTGATCGTCTTCATGGCCTTCTGACATACTTTAGGGCCTTGTATTGTTCCACATGCACATGCGGCTAGCAGACATACAAGTGAGTGTTCCAAATCTTTTCAACATACTACTCAGAGTTGTTTACATTTATTTCTTGTGACATGGTTGATACACTCATATGCTATAATAAGCATTTAACAGAAAATATGACTGCTTCCATTTTTTGTCAGACAATTACATCAGATTTCTAGATCTGAAAGATTAGACAGCGTCTGCTTCTGTTATTAACAATAGGCTTGTACCTTGTCCTGTGAATACACAAGTTGCAATTTAAAGATAATACAGCAGCTGTTAGCCCACTAGAAGTTTGCTTAATTCAAATCCTGACTTCCAAAACTAATACACACCCTTTATTCATTTCAATTTAATAAAAAGAACTGAGCAGACCATCACAAAAATCTGAATTTGTTCCACTTGAGTTTATTCTGAACTGAATCTGGAGAGTACATTTAACATTGCTACAGCAGCACTCCACTGAAGCTTTGGGGGAGTTCTTCCTAGTTTTTCTAGCAACACCACTTGTTGGAAACCTCCATAATTTCTGTGCTTAGGGACTATGACACTGCCTATTATGCCTTACTGGAATATCCTTACTTTTCCTTCCATGTTTCAAATACCTGTCTTTTCCTCACACTTTTCTATACATTTTCATTGCAATTCCTCTGCTTAGAACAGTGTTGTTTCTGCATTAAAACATAGCACAGGCTACATGCACCAGATTACTTAATAGGCTCTTCAAGGTTAAAACTGTGGAACAGAAAGAACCAGGAAGCTCTCAAACACATACTACTAGAGAAGATCCATGCTACACAAACCATGATCAGTCAGCACAAAGAACAATTCTCAAAAACTCTGTCCTAAGTAATAGGATCACTTTCTGTTTTTATACCAAAAGCAGTAAAGATATCATTTGTTCATACCTGTTACAGCCAGAAGGGCACCAAAGATTTTAATCAAAGCTAGAACAAAGGATATGCCAAAATACCCAGTCAGGGAGAAAAGGAATGCATAACCGTAAGTCTGAACTGGATGCTGCAACAACAACAAAAAAAGCCTGTTAGGAAAATGTAAAACAAACCCTGAGGTACTGCAAAATGACATAAAACTACAGACTTTAATCAACTGCTTGAGCAATAATAAGCTGTTCAACAATGCATTCATGCAAAGATCCTTATTTAATTTTAGTTAAATAATGGAAAAATAAGTCTGGTCCTGTGATTTTGTTTTGTTTTTTAAAACATTACCCTATCTAATACATCAAAGACTGTAAAAACTTGCTTAATATATTAATTATATAAGTTAACCAGTTTACATGATGAAAAAATAACTTTAGAGAAGTGGTAACATTTTCTAAACCATACAAAGCAATGTTTTCCAATGAGGTTTTTCACAGAAAAAAGGAAATCTTTATACCTACCTTTGAGCAAAATGTTACTGCAGGGCTTAATCCACTAGTGCATGTTAGTCCAAATAAAATATACACAAAACCTATTGAATAGGAATACAAAACCTAGAATAGTTCAAGAGAAAATAATTACCAGGTGATACTATACAAAAGTACAAAATTAAATACTTTCAAACGCTTGGCCCTATTAATGTGCTTAACTTCTCGGAGTTGAACTCGCAGTGATTGAAGATATTTTTACAAGGATTTCTATAACAGCTAATGTACAGTGAAAAGTGAATAGTGTTACAGACATTCTTCCTACCCACAACTACATAAAAAAAGTTTTTTAAGCTACTCAGTTAATAACATCTTGAGATCAATGTTGACTGTGGTAAATCCTTCAAATTCAGGATTTCACAGCTTAAATAAAACCTCACACAACTATATAATTTAATAGTTTGAATAACATGTTAAATGTATCTCATTTTCTGCTACTTAAACTGCTCAGTAAGGATCCATATTACATTAAATTTGCAAAGGATAGCACATAATCACCATGAACTGCCAGAAGTTCCACATAAATTTCATCTGTGTCACTTCAGTTCACGTACATGGCACACCTGCATTATGGTTACAGGTTACAAGATTTTCAAATATGATCAGCTCTGGCCTAATTCAGTACTCAGAACAGACTACACTCATTTTGTCTGTACCCTTATTTAATTCATAGCTTCATACAGCAACAAAAGAATCTTCATTTTATCCTTTGTCATATAGAGGCAACAATACAGTCTGGAACTGCCCGCCCATACATCCCTCCGTGCAGCAGGAAGCATTCAGCTCTTCGGGTAACGTTTAGTGGCCTTTTCTTGTGAAAAAGGAAGACACTGAACAGAACTATTCTACACCTTACTAGCTAGAACATGCTGATCTACTACACTTTCAAAATGTTGTGTCAATTACCGGCTTACTTCTTTTGACACAGGTTTCATGAACTGTTTTCTTGTTATACTATTTCAACTATTTGCAAAAATAAATCTATTAATAACTGATAGCAATGTCATGAGACAACAGAACACATCACTGCTCTACAAAAAGGAGGATGAATATCCATTTCAAGAGCAGAACTGCTTTCAGACTCTTAAAAAACAACGATCTGATCTTCAGAGCTCTTATTTTACAGTGTTTATACTCACACAAGTTAGTCTCTAGTTATTCATTTGCCTTTGCATCCAGCTTTTCTCCCAAACTACCCAAAGACCTCACTTTTTACAACCAGGAATGAGCACCACATTGCTAGTTCCTCGTTAGGCAGTGTGATATAAGTCACTCCTTAGAATCACACACAAGGCAAAAATCAAGTATAATTTTACAGAGCAGTGGTTACTATTTCAGCCGCAAGACACCCTTTTTTTTTTTCATAATTGCTTAACCCAGGACAAGCTCCAAATTCAGCAATAAAACAGAGATTCTGTGGATGACAGGTTCTTTCACTATTCATTTTTATTTCCAGATCACTGTCCATTAAACATGATCTCTGATCCAGAAGACCTCTTAAATTTTTACCCATAATCTCAAATCTAGAAAAAAATATTCCTGAAATTCTACTTGTAATTCTGCACTGTATTCTCTGAACAAAATCCTGGAGTGTAATCTCTAGGCCTCAACCAAACAAAACCTTTATATCCGTAATCACTTCACTGATTCTCTACAAGTAGTATGAGTATACAATATGAAGAACAATGTTTGTCAGACTATTTGTCAGAAGCAAAGTTCTGGAGAGAACATGAGCTTTGTAGGTAAGGCAGTTAACAACTGTCTGATGACTGTTGGCAAGATGCAAAGTGTGCAAGAAAACAGTTACAGATTGTACTTTGCTTTGGATGTCAGAGATTACAGCTATAGAAGGCTGCACTGGGTCAGGTGAGGTCCATGTAGCTAAAATCTCTGCCTCCAGCAGCAGCCAACAGTGAATACTAAGAAAAAGTACAAAAATAAAAACAAGAATACAATGACACTTTGAAGGTATATTCCACTTTCCAGAAATTTGCAGCTCAAACTTCTTGAGCCAACCTAAATTACCTTCAGCCTTAACTGAAGCTTCCTTCTATTTTTTTCTCCATTTATGAAGCTATCCTCATAAAGGAGAAACTAGACTTTCTCATTAAATTTCAAATACATGCCAATTATGCCAATTAAATTTCAATATTTTTTTACTTGTGGCATATCCAAATACTGTCTGTTATAATAAAAACTTTTCTTGCCTTTACTCAACTGTAGAGAAAAAGATGCCAAACATAAATTTTGTCTACAAAGAAAAAAAATCAGACCATACAAACAGCTAATCCGTGTTCCAAAGAAGTGTATAAGAATACTAAGCAAGACTTCTTCAAAATTACGCATTTCACTGAATCGGGAGCACATATATTCACCCATTCTAGAAGTCAAGGTTTTTACACAATTCATAGGCTTCAAAAAAGGCTGCCTCTCAAATGCTAGCACATGCTACAGTCAAAATCTGGCAAGTAAGAAAAACAACATGTTCCACTTAACACATGTTCATCTATACCAGAAGAACAGTATATATTTTTCAGAGATTAAGTGCATGATCATACAGAAAACACTCTGTTGATTTCTGGTCTGCAGGGTAGACAAAGAAATTGTTGCTAGAAATGAGTGTTTTCTGTAGCTGCAATATACATTTGAAGTTGCACACAGAAAGTAGCACCCTAGAAAGGTTAAAGAAAAAAAAAACAAACAAAAATCCAGCAAAAGCCCCCAGACAAACAGAAAACCCCAAGAAAGGTACACCAAGAGCTCTTCTTTACATATGCAAGAGAAAAGTAGATTTAAGTTTCATGTTTTGTCATTGTATGCCTTGTCTATGATAGAAGGTGTTCTTTCAAAATTGCAAATCTGGTATTTACCATTTCTGAATTAGAACCATTGTGCAACTTCATAGCTTTTTCCTGTACATTTCCTATAACTGCATCTGCGCAGAGGGCAAGGGATATTAGGACCACACCTAATATAAGAAAAAAACAAACAAACAAAAACCTGTTCAGAATATTTAGCAGCAGAGTAGTGACAAAAACCACTCTGTACCTATCCTGAAAAAAAAATAAAAAATCTCAGGAATAGAAAAGTAATAAAACCCCCTCTATACCATATTCTAAATGTCAGCAAGGCTATTTCATTATACCAGCATAAAGCAGTGTCCAACCTCATTCCCTCCATCAGTTAACCCCTGAGCACTGTGTCTCTAAACTTGATAGGAACATCTGGGCATTGCTACAAGGAAGATGAAGTTTTTGCAGTAACAAGAGTGAAACAATGTCAATTGCATTTATTTAGGTATTTTTAATGAGGATAAATAACCAGAGAACATACTCCTTTGAGTAATTAATCCTAGATTATTTTTTCCTGACAAAGGGAAATAGAAATGTTACGATGTAATGGTAAAACAAATGCAACAGGATTCACAGCAGAAACCTTTCATTACTGAAATCCTAATTTTAAAAAAACTACTGTTGAGATAAAAACCCCGTGGTTTCAGTTTACCATATTTGTTCATAACGAAGTCACTACACAGTCAATAACATAATCAGTTTTCCAATAAAAAAATTAATAACTCCTTATCCATGCCAGTCACAATTCATTTCCCAACCTCCAAACTTCGATTCTTTCACGACTGTAGCAACCTTTCTATTTAATGATGCACACAGGTTGAAATACCACTTCGTCTAAGTATACAACATTACAGAAGTTATCAGTCATCAAAGTCATATTTACTGTCTGCTCCAGTCTTGGTTCCTTAAAACACCCCAAGTGTCAGGGAAGAATGAGGAGTGGAAAATGAAAAACAAGCAGGGTTATATTTTCTTAATATTATGTTCTTACTACCAGAGGTTTCAGAAAAGGCATTCTCATGGACCAAATGAAGTATAAGCTCCTGACAGAGGAAAAAAAAAAAAAAAAATCCCAGCTTCTAGGATTTTCAGAATTGAAAGATTAAACGTATTTAAGACCAATGAAATTTAAGGTATCGTCTCCCTGGCCAACTTCTGGATACATGGGAATTTCGGAACCAGCATTTTTAGCTTGAGAACCATTTCCTTTCTTAGGCTAGACTTATGCAACTGAAGCAACAGAAAAAGACTCTTCATTATTCAAAGTTATCAGGCATTGGAAAAGGTTTGAGTCAATTGAAATTACACAGTAATTTGAATAACACTGGTTATGCTAAAGGCAACAGTATAGACATATTAACTACGTGGATTCAGCTCTGGTCCAAAGGTGTAGTTACACCTCCAGCTCAGCAACAGCCTTGCTGCAGATCACTTCTGTAAAGGACTCAGCATGTCTTCATCTGTGTTCTCTAACACGCTGGTTCCTGCAGCATTTATGGGTCCAGGCACATCACTGGACAAATGCATGGGTTCAGCACCGGATTGAGATGAAAAGGTTACCTGGAATGTGAAGTGCAAGTGTGCATGGAAAGGAGAAATGTAGAGGCAAGACAAATGTTAATATTATGTACAGACACAGTTTGCAGAGAAGAATTGTTTCACTCGTGATAACGCTGCACCTGCCGAGCAGCAGCAAAACCATGAACGAGACCAGTAATGTTATGTAGTACGTAAAGCATGAGTAAAAATGATTGGAAGAACCGGACCTAAATTAGTTCTGAAAGAAATTAAACCTGGAGGTCTTGCACCACAGACTTGATTGAAACACTACATTACATTGTATTTTACACTATTAATGTGATTCTTGAAGTCATTAAAATATTAACACTGCTTATACATTTATAAGCTATTGGGATATTGACATAAGTTCCTCTACAACACATTTTTCAACTTGCAATCCTCACCACGCAAATGTGTCAGACTAGCAAGTTGTTTGGAATTTACCTGCCCATTAAAACTTCTTTACTCCACATTTTAGAAGATTAGAAGATACAGTAGAGGTAGTAGCTAACCAAGTAATACCATCTTAACAACAGTGAAGCGAAGGGCAAAACACTTCAGTCTGCAAAAGACTAAACTAAACTTCACCTGTACAAACAGTCTGGGGTGGAGGAATTTGCATGTAATTTGTATTTTTACTGTGTCTTCAAAATAGTTAAATTTCCACTTACACCTGTACTGGCAAAGCAGCAGCATCTCCTGTAGCACCAATGTTACAAGTCTGTCTCTGTACCCTTATTCACAGCTATTTAGGATATCTACCACTACCTCTCCAATTTGACAGCATAGTTTTGCTTTTTTAGAACTGTGAAATGCAAACAGCTTTGTTCTTAACAAGTTAGAAGTAGTTCTATGAAATCATGCTAGAATCACACTACTTTGCGTGGAAACTGTTCTACATAAACATGCATAAATCACTGGAATGGACTCAGGAATTTAGGGGGCAGTAAGTAGGCAGTGAAATAAAACTGCAGCTTTAGAAAACAGTAATTTAATTTGCTGTTTATGTTTTTAAAGTTTTAACATCCTTAAATTGTTATTTATTTGAAGATACTGTATGAAGATACAAAATTATATTCTGCCTCTCTGCTTTCAGTTCTTATTCTGTGATTTACATCAAGAAAAGTGCAATTATTCAAAGGAATATGCCACTTTGCAAAGTTTTTATTAATTCTTATCACCGGTTTTACACGTTGGCAGCTATGTATTTCTGCAATGCCAAAAATCAGTACGTCTTGAAGGAAGGGATCGTCTATCTCCATAATTCATCCTAGAAAAGGAAAAACTCCGCCTTTCCCAGTACAAAAGTTTCTTCCGGGTAAATTAAGTGTCATGGGAATAAAACAAAACAGGCAAGAGGGAACAGAGAAATACAGGAAGAACTTTTGCAGAAGGTAAGCAGGAGAATTTCGAATCACCTTCCTAAGGAGAGATCCAGACTTTTGAATTCTAGTTCTGTATTCTATTTTCACAGAACTAGCTTCCTCCAAATGGTAGTGCTCTAAGCTTCCATATATACAGACTTGTTTGAAGTGTACAAAATAAATTAAGAATGAAAGACAACCCTGTTTATTCTCTGAAGACATTAAGTTTTTATCTCGTGTTTTGCAGATCTCCGAGGGCATCAGGACTTTGCTACTTTCGCTGCACTTTACCCTCGCCCATTAAGTTGAAGAATCTACTTTCTAAATGTTTTCAGAATTCAGTCATGGCACATATTTTAGACAATTCAAATTTTACAAAAGGAATATTTTAACATATGAATACACTTGAGAGGCTATAGTCAAAATGAGCCGTAATGGTAACACATATCTATATAATTACGTGCATACCAACATCATACTGTACTCAAAAATACACTTTTTTTTCAAGCAGCCACCAGTTACACCACACAAACACACTAAATTCACAGTAGGTTATATAATTAACAGATTTTTGTAATTTCTTCCACTACCAGTAGCACTGAAAGTACATTAAAAAGCATGAGAATTAATTTATGAGCAAGGCAAAAGATACATACAGTTTACACAACATCACAAATTGATCATTACTAACACTGGATGACATAATAGTTTGTGAGGGCAAGAAGTCTTTTCCTTAAAACAGAGAATTCATTATTATCTTTAGGAACAAAACTTCTAAATCATTGCCTCCACTTTTAAGAAAGAAAGGTTTCACACTGAATGTCTCTCATAACAGTTGTTCTATCTCATCTCAGAATTTCAAAAGAAGAATACACTAGAAGTAGATTATTCAAAAGTTTTGCAAGGTTCAATATTAATCCAAGTGTTGGCCAAGTAAATAACATGGATTTTATGAATAACCAATTCTCCCGTATTATTTAAGAAGGAAATTCAAGCAGGTTAAAATCTTTTCGTTCCTTCTGATTTTACACAGTGGCAAAAAGTTAGGTTGTGGGCACTACAGCTAAGAACTATAGCAAACCTGAGTGAGACCATCAATTAATATAAAATAAATGGTTCAGGAGTGGAAAAAGACTTAAAAGGTTTAACTAGAAAAGTCAGCTAATCTTTTTAAGTTTTAAAATGGTCAAACTGAATTTTATTGTATTTATTTTAACACAACTACTGGGAAGTAAGTATTTTTTGAGAACAAGCACAAGACATTTCAACCTAAAGGCTGGAATTTACAGAAATTTAAAGAACCTAAAAACTAACACTCTGAATAAAGGCCTCTTCTGCCAGAGATATAGTTCTGCTAGTGCAAAGCTGGAATGAAACCTGTCTCTATGATCCCTGAAGGCATTCCACTGAGAATTCTCAGAACTTCTATGGCATGCTTACTGTAGGAAAAAACCCAAGCATTTCGTTAAACCCTAAAATATAACATATCTTTACCTGTGAAGTTGAAGTTTGGTGCAACTGTGCTGTCAGCTAAAGTAAACCAAATTAATCCAAGGCTCATACATAGGGCAGCAGACACATCTGCAATATTGTAACGTTTTCCTACAAAAGCAATACAAACAACATGAGTGGACTGTTAACACTCTCAAAATTTCATGTTTATCCTGTTTAGCAGATTGGAAGGCAAAGGAAAAATTGTTCCAATGTCATTCTTTTACTTAGCAGAAGACTCAATTCCCTGGCCTTCCATGACTGGAAGAATTAGTTTCTTTGATAATGGCAGTTCCTAACACGGAGAAGGACCTTAAAAGATACTATCTGATTCTTGTGATCAGTTTTAGTTTTACTCCTACTGGCATAAAGCACATTCTCAATGAAATAAAGCACATCCTCTCTGACAAAGCACCATCTCAGCAACTTCAGGACAGCTTAGACATTTTCTTAAGTTTTTTCCCCTCATGCAAGACATTTTGGCTGCCTTTATTGATCAGAGAGAAGTCATTCCCAAACACTAACAGATGTTTTGGGCACTTTTAGAATCTACATTGTCCCTCAGTTTGAGAGAGATGGGATATGGAGGGATGTACAGAAAGAGATAGAGTAGGGAAATGAAAAGGCAGGAGTTAATGTATCTTGTTTTAAATAACATATTCCTTTCCCAGAAGCTGTACTCTCAATAAAAGCTTTTAAGGGAACTTTTTTGAGCTGAAAATTTTTAAAAATAATAATTAAAAAAAAATAATATCACAGCTTCTGAGAATACAATACTACCACGACACAATATAAAGTTTCACAAAGCTTTGAGGGAATACCAGTCTCCATTAAAATGATACAAAACTACTCCTAATAAAAGGTAAATACTGTGTGCTCATGTGCATACATAAACTTGTAACCTCCTCTGAAAGTTCAGCTTTCTATTGCAAGCAGAAGGCCAGAATTAGCTACAGAAACAGAAATACACCGTTTTAAATTCTGTTCCATAACACTTGCCCATGCAGAGCTTTATTGACTTAATGAATCCTTGTGTATCAAACGAACAGACACTTTAATAATATACCCAAATCCCCTAAATCCAGAAATACTGAAGCATGTTTATTCACACGACTGTAGTCTTTATCTGTTGTTGTCCAGATCCCTTCTTCTGTTCTTGGAATATGAACTATGACTTTAGGACTAGCTAAAGACATGTAAAGTCAGGTGTATTTCTGATTAAACTTTTGATTGGAATTTAGTAATTTTAATTAGGAATTTAGGAATCAAGCTTTTCAAACAAGAAGAGTACGGGATTTCTTCACAGATCATGGCTGGATTTTTTTTTTTTTTTCCAAGTTTTCCATTTCAGTATTGAAAATGTTTCATTTATGAAGTGATTTGGCTTAGAAAATAAAGTTACATTACTGAAAAATTAAGAAAGCTTGCATAAAAATTAAGTTTTGCATGTGACCTGTACAACTTGTTTTTCACCACATTTTCTGTTCATCTAATTGAATTTGTACATTTTCAGAAATTCACATTTCTCCTCCTATAAGAAAAACATTAACCTGTCCCTTTCTATCCCAGAGCCCCAGTAGCTTTTAACAAAGTACAGGATTCCATATGTGACTGCTTCCCAAAGAAATAACAAAACAAAAAATCATCTAATAGACTATCTTACCTTGTATAAAAACCCCGCCTATCATAACTGGAATCAGCTTACAGCACTTGAAGATGACTTGAGTAGGGTAATTCAGATATCCTAAAGAGGTATTGGACAAACCCATAGTTCCCACTGTTAAAAATGCTATTATCATGTAGGTTTTCCCAGGAATTCTATAAAACATAAGCATATGAAAATTGGTATTACAGACACACGTAGAGGAGATTTAGCTTGGAAAATTTAGATAAAGGAATATGTTTGTCATAAAACTTGACCATCTTTCTCACTGAATTTCATTCCATGGTATGAATTTTAAAAAGCGCGAGTCACTGATCTCAAATTTAATTTCTTTCAATTACTGCTAATAAACAGCGCTCAAATACAAGACAACAAAAACTTCATGACTCATGAAGTATTCAAGCAGGAATTCTTTAATCTCCTTCTGAGAAGGTATATTATTTATAGAAGAATCAAGACAAAGGCTTGAGGTTATTTGTCAAAGGAAACACAGAAGGTTGGTATATTAAGACATCCTGAGTATTAGTCCTGCCATAGTCACTGTGTCAATTTTTTGGTGAAGTTTTCACATGATCATTCACATTTTTAGAATGCAGAAAGTTGAAAAAAGTACTATTGTTTTATAAAACTCAACAGAACTAAAAGAGAAGTGATTGATATATCATGAACAGAGGGCCTCCTTGAATATTTTCAGATGTAATGTTTGCAGTTTGACGAAATTATCACCTGACAACAGATGAGCAAACAGTAATTTTTCGCAATTGCTGTGCTCCCTTTGTAGAGTGATTTTTTACAGTTATTGTTGTGCATATGTTCAGCTATTTTTTATGCATACTCAGAGCCACATCAAGTAACATAAGGAGATGTCTTGCTGTAACCCTGTCTTATCCATAACTTATTATGTGATCTGGGCATACTCTGAGGTGTGCAAGAAAAATTTAAAATTTAAGACACAGAGAATTCAGCATAAAAAAAAATTGGAAATAGACTTTTTTTATGTCTACAAGAAGATGCCCAGGTTATAGAAAATAAAATGTAAAATATATTTAAGATCTACATTTTCAGCACAATTTACTTACAGGGTCATGCTCTGTAAGCATCAGCAACTATTTGGTAATTAAAACCTAAATACTAGTTACAGAACACCCCAAAGGCAATATTATCTGCTGCAGCTCAAAAAGTCAGATACCTTAAAATATAAGGTGTCAGTGTTTAAAATAAAAACAATAATCTCTCAAAGTTATATTACTTGGCTAGAAAAGAATTCTATTACTTAAAAGCAGTATATGCAAAATCAGCCAAGGTTGACTACAGGAAAGGAAAACTACTTATACACAACTAATGCCTTAAAGCAATTTTAAAATTCATGTACCCAACGACAGCCTCTATCCAAGCTTCTAGAGGAACTCAGTGTACAGTTTGCAGAGGCTGTAGTTGGGCAAGAAGCCACAGAATGGCCACACTGAGATCAAACTAATCCATATCCATAGGATTTGAGACAGCAAGAATCTCCTCGGTCAACTGCAGTGAAAAAATCCAGCAGAATTTTGTGGCAGGGTGTTATGAAAGCTATCTTAAATGAAAAATTCAAAACCTCAGTACATCCACTGAAGCAAACCTAAGCACCCACATACAAATGGAGAGCAGACCTCTGACACTCACCAAGATGCGGAGTGTTAGAGGAACCTCTTGGTAAGGAGGCACTAAGGTTTGAAGAAAAGGTATTAAATGAGAGATAGCTTCAAGTGCCGTGAAGTGCAGTCGGCCTGATTGGGACGTGATAAGCCCAAGCAACACAAACATAAGCCCATCTGTATCAACTACCTCAGGGACAGAATATGCTCTCTAAGTGCGACAAAGTAACAGAAGAGTCAACAAGACTACATACAGGTTTGAAATCTAAGTGGGTGTTTATGTAACATTTCCTAACGTCATCCAGTAAATTCACATTATCTTAATTACATAACTGCTACTGATGCCTTACAGTATTGACGTTCAAACAACAGAAGTTAAATTTACCATAAATATAAAAATGTTTCTAATTCCATGGATAGCAGGTAAAATGCTCTGAAAAACAAACACATACCTTCTCCTTTTGTCCTGAATGAGCTGCAATTCTATTAGTCCAAAAATGGAATAAAATCCAAATTGCACTAAAGTAAGGTACCACCCAAAGGGTTTAAAACCTTCCACTGAAAATATCAATTCCTATAAAAACAAAAACCCACTAAGGTCACATGCGTACATCAAAATATTAAATCAAAACAAAACCAACAGATTTTCTTTTCTTCATGTACATGCAAATGTAGCCTTTACAGCTGCTGGTTATTAACAAGAATTTACCTGCCATAGGTAACTTGCAAAGTATTAAAGACAATTTAGGTTCTTCAAGATGCAATGAGAAAATTTACTGATGGTGTAAATCCACTTAAATTAATGGATTGACTCATAAGGGTAATACACTTGATTCATTAATATTTACCTCAAATTATATCTGTTTCCTGCCTGCTTTTTTGTTAGCTTTCACTTCATTTACTCCAGTAGACTGCTTTTATCCAGAATTTATAAATAGCTCACAGTAACACAAATACAAACTTTCTCTTAACATACTTACTAGCAACTTTCATTTGTTAGGAACATGCACGGAATATTTTGAGTGCCTACATTAAATAGCACTTGTGAGCTTATAAATTTTCAGGCTGTAGGAACATTTAAACTCAGAGCAATTTGTTACAGAAAAATACACGCACTACATGAAGAATTATGCAGATGTGTCAGTTATAGAAACAAAAGGCTACCTAATATTTTCCTTTTTGAGATTCTACTTTCAATTAATGAAAACTTTTCCTAACTCTTTGAAAGTAACTTTATTTTAACAAACTTCTCAGCTGTTTTGGAAAACTGTGTTGGAAATACAGTGATTTTTACTTATTAACTTTTTAAATCACTACTTTATTGAGAAGACGCAATGAAGTTAAAAAACATTTAAAAAGGAACAGAAATGTAGCTGCTCAAGGTAAAAGTTAGCAGGAAGAGAAACGTTTAACTAAAGCGGCATCAACATTATGCTTTTGCTTAACAAACAACCATAGTACGTGTTTCAGGTCTGTCATTAAGGGAAAGCAGAGAGAACCATAGACTATTGTTACTGTAAGGCACTCATGGAACTCAAGGAGAGCTAAAGGTTTCAACACCAATAAAGACTTACATGTAAGTCTCTATGGCTCTACAATTTGTTTGTTTTCAGAAGACTATGAAATCACATTTTTAAAGTGCACATTCAAAACAATAATGAAAGGTGTGTCTTGTAAACAGACATAAAAGACCAAGTTATGAAATTCCAACTGAACCAAACCTTGTAGGCACATGAACTGTAACGGCATTTTACATTATACAATTACTTACTGCTCTTGAATTCTGAAAGCCAGACTTTGCAATCAATATCTACTTTAAATGTTTATACATATTAAAACACATACTATATTATTATCTCACATAAAAGGGGAAGGAGGAATTGGCCTAAAAGTTCATAATATTCACCTGTAAATATCCATAGATTAGATAAAACATAAAAACTCCAGAAACGCAGATGAAAAATTGAGTAGGTTTGTTAAACTTGCTGAGATTCATGCCAAGAACTACAACATCGTCTACTGATTTGATATGAGGAGACATAGTTTGAGATTTGGAAGGCACACTGATGGAAATGTATTTTCTTGAAGAAGGGAATTTCAAATCCATGATTTCTAGTTCGCTGCATTCGGTGCTATTGTTATTTTCCTTCTGCTCTTTCCTTTCTGTGTCTGAAAGCTGAAAGAAACACTGAAGTCAGGTAAGACATAACATACAGCCTTCCAACAATAACATTAAAGACATTTATATGGAAAATATAAAGGTTTAAGAGTTTTGTTGGATTATTTTTATTCACAAATTTCTTTTTTATGTCGAAAGACAACACCAATTAATATCAGAGGCCAGCAACACTTTATGAAAACACTTTTGCTTCCTGTGGGAAGTAGCATTCCTACACTCTACAAAACAAACAAACAAAACAATCCCAAAACATCAACAACACAAAACCAGCGTCAGTTTCACAATAGCTCAAACTAGCTCTTTTATGCTAGTACGCACAGGACTGACTGCTTGGGAGAGAAGTGATCCCCATGATCAAATCACTGAAAGAACTGGTATTGAAGTACTATGGTTCTCTCTACTTGATTTCATTTTCACAGCAAAATATGAAAGACTAGTCCACTACAAGAGAAGACTTGCTAAAAACTACAGATTTGAGCCTATGATTGCTTACAAGCATTGAACTCTCATTCTCACATTTACTCACTGCTTATTTCTCACATACTTCAGAGGAAAAGAACATGAAGATGGAAACAAGAAGATTAAGAAGTCAGTCTCTGAAATTAGATTGGTTATCTGATGAGGTCTATGGTATTGCAATACCTCTAATATTAATCACATGCAGCCATTTCCACATGTAATAGAAAACAAAATTGGATAACTGAAGCCTGGAGAAGGAATTTAGTGGCTTAATAGACTGACAGGCAAATAATTCTTTCCTCCAGCTCAGCAGAGAGTATGATGTTTGAGGTTTTGTTTTTTTTTTCTTTCCTTTTTTTTCTTTTTGGCCTCACGTTAAACACAGTTGTCACTCAGTTATCCCAAGATTTTTAAGTGTAAGTCAGCATCTAGTCCAGCAAACAGTCAATAATTAAATTCTGTTTGTCTTAAGTATTTAGTGGTTTATTTTACCCAGCTCAAAAATACCTCTGCTCATCACACGTGTATGAAAAATGCTTTTCCTGCTGTTTTTAAATGGAAAATGTGCTAGTATATAAAAGCTAGAACATGCAGTAAAAGTAGTAAATGTAATCTGCATGGACATTAGCAATTTATTACACAACACAAGAAATGACAAGTTTAGCTGAAAAATGAAGAATTAGTATAAAACTTGCAATGTGGTTATGTCTCCTTTTCTGATACAACCTACTACTGGGTTGGAACAACCATAGCTTGGGGACGAGAACAGGAGTTTAGGGACTATAATAATAATTTGTGTTTAAATTCAGAGCTCTTCAGTTGAAAACCAAAAGTGAGAAGTAGGAAGTACCCTTGCGGATTGTTAGCTAATTCCATAATGAGATGGCCATAAAAAATGGAAAAAGTTTAAGTAGACTCTCTTCCGTAAAAACAGAAAAGTATCCATGTCATGCAATGAGGCACTAGTGAGCTTTCGCATACAATATCATACATTGTTCTGATCATCCTCAAAGACAGAATCAAACAATAACTGCAAAAAAGGTTATCAGGATGGAGGAACAGATTGTCCACCTTATGAACTGAAATAAGATGAAAACATGACTTGCCTACCCTAGCAAAACCCTGAGGAAAAGAAAATACACCTGCTTTCAATAAAAGTATCACAGGGATTGCCAATAATGAGGAAAAATAATTTTAATTTTCATGACGATAACATGAGAGCAAATGGGCATGAAGTGATCATAACAAACATTACTAAAAACTACTTTTTCATCCTTAGACTATCTCTATTCTAGAGCAGCCTAAAAATGAAAGAAGGAACAACTGAACTGTTTTTAAGGTGAAGTTTATGAAAGCAATTATGTAGAGCTGTTAAGACTGGGTGTGATGACTGAGCAGTACGCTTTAGCCCTGTGTTTATAGCATTCCGCCACTATGGAAAGCAAAGTAAGGTACCTGCAGAAGATACTCATTGATCCCTGCTTGGTCACTAAACCAGGACGTGAATTACTACTTTCCCCAGAAGAATTGCATACAAAGTTAGGACTCCAAAGTTCAAGGCCAAGGAATAAATCACTATGAAGGAAAGACAATGTATTTAGCAATCTACCCATTGCTGCCATCTTAGCTGAACTTGTATTTTCATTGGTGCCTGTTCAGATCTTTCCTGTCCAGCATACACTTCCTCTTGAGAGGCACACAGCATTTGTTAATGTCACACTTTCTCAGCAGGAACAACAGCTGCCAAAGTAATCTGAGCCTCATTTTTTACCTACACTGAAACACAGAGAATGACACACGCCCAGCAGAAGACACAGCCATGTACTGTCATGTGAGCTTCAACAGTGCAAAAACGGAATGAATTGTGTAACACATAGTTTTATACCTATATTTTCCACTCTGGCCACTAACTTAAAAATTACTTGTCAAATAACTGTTTTAGGACCAGAAGAAATAGAGGGAAGAAGAAACAGTAACAAGTGTATTTATGTAAACAGTAACAAGTGGGTCTGGCTGAGACAGAGTAAATATTCTTCATAGCAGCTTGCACAGTGCTGTGTTTAGATTTAGATTAGATTACCAAAACAATGCTGGTAATACACTAATGTTTTACCTACTTCTGAGCAGAGTTTGCACATCATCAAGGCCTTTTCTGTTTCTCCATCTTCCCCCCCCTCCAGTGAACAGACTGAGGTGTGTGCAAGAGGCTGGGAGGGGGCACAACCAGATGACCCAAACTAGCCAGAGATACTCCATGCTATAAAGCTTCCCACTCAGCAATAAAAAGCATGAGGAGGGGCATTAGGGAGGTTACTCATCTTTTGCTCAGGAACTGGCTGGGTATCGGTCTATCTGTGGGAGGAGTGATTGTCTTTACATCACCTGGTTTGTTTTCTGTCACTCTTTTTTCATTTCTCCTCCACTTCTTAAGCAATTTTTACCTCAATCCATACATTTTCTTGCTTTCACCCTTCCATGCCTCTTCCCTCATCCCTCTGGGGATCGGGGGAAAGTGAGAAAGTGGGTATGTAGTGCTTAGCTGCCTAGCAGCCTTAACCTACACCACAATTAAAACAAATTTTCCAATTTTCAACTACTTATATTCAAAATATTTCCTCAGGAATACCATCAATTTTTACAGTCTGTCCATTAAATCTCTTGAAGATTACAGAGTCTACCACTAAAGTAGTAGGAAACAACATTGACAGGGCCAGTCATGCCCAAAGCCATCCATAAGAAGACGATGCATAGCAATTGTTTTTCCTCTGTTATGTTCTACAGGAAAGAAAAAAAAATTGCCACATTCAAGAAACATTTCAAGGAACATTATAGAATCATAGAATGGCTTGGGTTGGAAGGGACCTTAAAATCATCTAGTTTCAACCCCCCTGCCGCATGCAGGGACACCTCCCACTAGACCTGGTTGCTCAAAGCCCCATCCAGCCTGGTCTTGAACACTTCCAGGGATGGGGCATCCACAGCTTCTCTGGGCAACCTGTTCCAGTGCCTCAGCACCCTCGCAGTAAAGAATTTCTTCCTAATATCTAATCTAAACCTCCTCTCTCTCAGTTCAAAACTTGTTACCCCTCATCCTATTGCAACACTCCCTCATAAAGAGCTTTACTTAATATCTGAAGAAATGTATGTATCCATCTGAAGCACTCTCTACCAAGTAATTTCATTACCAAGAGCAACAGAACTCTTCTGAAGTCCGCTGTGACTTCTCAAATTCTTATTTTTCTAAGTATCAAAAATAGTCACCCTCAAGCAACTGATTTTGAAAAAACATGCAGCAAAAACCTGTTTTATGAAGAGTCAAGTAGCTAAAGAGCTGGCCTGATGTGTGTAAAACAGCATTCTCCCCTCCTTTTTAATGCTGTGTATAAAAATGTAAACAACACATTCTTTAGATCAAACACTTTTTGCTCCTTCCCCTTTGAAAAGTACCATGCATAGCAAGATTTTAAACTTACACACAAGTAAAATAGAGTGATTATTACATGAAAAGGAAGCAAATGAACAAGTAACTAGAAAAGAAAAAAATTTTTGGCCTCCAAAAAGTTAATGACTTGTATCAAGCATGGAAAAAACATTACAAAGGAGCAGAGGCTTTTTTATTTGACTCTGAAAAATAGCCATTAAAAATATCAGTTTGGCAGAAACTCTCAGAAATATTGCCTGCATGAGCCACACAAGGCAAGTTCCACACTGGCCAAGATCCATTTATTTGGAGCCAGTTTCTGCAAATCCCTGGTGGGAGGACGGTCGCTGGCACATTAACAGGGATGCTCCGGGTTACAGGGGCGCAAACGTGTACCTGTGGGAAACCCGAGCAGATACTTTCCCTGGCGGTACCTGGCTCCCGCCCCGGAGGCATAAGAAGGAAGAGAGGCAGGGACCGGCGTGATCCTTGAAGATCCTTCCAGCCCTGTGCCAGCTGAGCTGCCGGGCGCTGGCCCGAGGCCAGGACAGACGTGGCTCTACCCCAGCACCTGCCAGTTGCCCTGGGCTGGGGCTGCGGCTTCCGAAAACCGACAGGCCGCCGTTCCTCGTCCCTCCTCCCGGGGAAGGAAACGTCTCTCGCTGCTCGCGGGCTCCTCGGGCCCAGCGCCGGGACACACCGCCTCCTCGGGCCAGGCAAAACCCTCCCGGCCAGCCAAAACCCGCCAGCCAGCCAGAACTGGCCCCGACCCAGCCCCCCGCACTCCTCACCGCCACGGCCATGGCCCCCTATTTGCCGGGTGACGCTCCCCAGGAAGCCACCTCGCCGCCCTGCTCCCGGTGCCCGGGGGAGGAGCGGCCCCGGCCCCGCCCCCGGTACCTGTTAGGCCGGGGAGGAGGGGCGCGGCGGCCGCGGCCCCCCTCCCGTCCTCCTCCGCCGCCAACCGCCGCGACGGCCCTCCCGCTGCCTCCGGTCCCGCCGGAAGTGGCGGTGGGGATGCCAGGGGGCCGGCGCGAGCACCGAGCGCATCGAGGGAGCACCGAGCGCATCGAGGGAGCGCCGCTCGCTCGGCGTTCCGCTAAGGCGGCCTCGAGGAGAGGAGGGGGGGGGTTGCCGTCGCCCTCCAGGTGCCGCCTCAGCCCCGCTGGGGGCGGGGCCTCTTCCTGAGGGGCCACCCACCGGGGCGGGGCTCTCCGCTCCGGCTGCCGGGGCCGGGCGGCGACGTTTCCCGGCGGGTAGCGGTACGCGCTCCATCCCGCCGGGACGCAACCGGGGAGCCGGTCTGCCGGCCTGGTGAAGCAGTCCCGGCCGTCAGGAGCCACAGCCCCTCCGCTAGGGATGCCCCGCCGGGGGTTTCCTCGTCTGCCAGCTCCCCCTGTCTGGAGAGGGCGGGAGGGGCCGCCTTAGCGCGGGGGTAGGGCCAACGGCCGCTGTCCAACGGCCGCTGTCCAACGGCCGCTCCCCAACAGCCACTCCCCAACGGCCACTCTCCAACGGTCGCTCCCCAACGGCCGCTCCCCAACGGCCGCTCTCCAACGGTCGCTCCCCAACGGTCGCTCCCCAACGGCCGCTCTTCAACGGCTGCTCTCCAATGGCCGCTCCCCAACCGCCGCCTTGTAACTACCGCTGTGGTGCATCCTGTCAGCCCAGGGGCTGGTGGTCACTCCCTGGTCAGGCCGTTGGTGCAGGTCGGTTGGGAACCGTCCGGCTTTAAGGCTCTGGAACAGCCCCAGGAGTTCCCCTCTTCCACACCAGGGTTGCATCGAGATAGTTTGGAACCCCTGACAGGTTCTGTTCCAAGAGTTGGCTAATTCTCTGCCGTTCTAACCTGAGTTGTAAACCACCCAGTCACGTGAACCTGCTGCCTTCATAAAAACCGCAAAAAAAAAAAAAAAAAAAATTTTTACACAGCACGTGATCGTTCCATGTGAGGCTGCAGGAAGAAAAGAATAAAAATATTTAATAGTAACAAGTGAAAAGGTGAATGAGACCAGCAAAATGCACAGAGAAGAAGCAAAATGCATAGAGAACATAAGAGCCAAAAGAATCGGGTAAAAAGCTCTACACGAAAAGTAGCCAAAGGCATTTTTGTGGAAATATATGAATTAGATCCAACTTCAAAATACATAAAATCACATCAGGCTATAAAATGGAAATGCTGTGTTTCTAGTAACAATGTGCAGAAGTATTTAACATTATTCATAAATATATATAAGTATGTCCTGTAGTCATTGGGAAATTTGAGCTTTTATGTTTGCAGTGTTTTAAAAGTTTTCTTTTTCCAATGCTGCCACAGTAAATCAGTATGTATTATTGATAGTAGCAACAAGTGTACAAGCATTTAAAATCAGCATCCTGGCCTGTATCAGGAATAGTGTGGCAAACAGGACTAGGGAAGTCAGCGTCCTCCTGTACTTGGCACAGGTGAGGCTGCACCGCGGGTACTGTTCAGTTTTGAGCCCCTCACTACAGCAGGGATATTGAGATTCTGGAGTGAGCCCAGAGAAGGGCAATGAAGCTGGTGAGGGGTCTATGAGGAGCTGCTTAGGGAACTGAGGTTGTTTAGTCTGGAGAAAAGGTAGCTGAGGGGAGACCTTATCTCTCTCTACAACTACCTGAAAGGAGGTTGTAGGGAGGTAGGGATCAGTCTCTTCTCCCAAGTAGTAGGCGATAGGACAAAAGGAAGCAGCCTCAGGTTGCACCAGGGGAAGTTTAGATTGGATATTAGGAAAAAATTCTTCATGAAAAGGATTATCAAGCATTGCAACAGGCTGCTCAGGGAAGTGCCTGAATTGCCATCCCTGGAGGTATTTAAAAGACAGGTAGATGTGGCTGGCGCTTGTGGACATGGTTTAGTGGTGGGTTTGGCGGTGGAATGTTAATGGTTGGACTTGATGGTCTTAAAGGCCCATTCCAACCTAGATGATTCTATGATTCTATATCTTTAAGAATATTTATTAAGTGACAAATGCCAAAAAGAAACTATGTGTTTGAGGTTGACTTTGAAATATTATTAATAATAATAATGTTGAACCCATGTTCTTTAGAGGTACCAGTGCTTCTTGGTTTGTGTTTCCTCTGTCTGGGTTGAGGGATTTCACATTTAGCAAACAACTGTGCTTTTTGCAGCAATACGGATGGTGCTTTTCACTGTCTCCATGACAGAAGAAACCACTCCAATAACTCAGGTAAATAAATCCAAGCTTGTGCATGGTCAACTGGGGTTTTCTAGTTTACTACAAGTAAATTCTCTAGACATGTCGTCTATAATGAATTTCACTATTATGGATAGAAGTGGACTGATTACTTGTCTACGATGTTATTTTTTTCCAGCTACTGCTAGGTGGGAAATAGGTATCAAGAGGGATCACAAAGCTCCCAACATCGTGAAGTTTGAGGGCAAGTTAAAATGCGTAGGAGGCAAGATGTGGAGTAGAGTGTGCCTGAATGACTCAGTGGAAGCAGATGGATAGGAGGAAAAATCAAACCATACCACTAAATAGGATTGGCTAAATAAGCACTACTGGGAATAAGGAACTTGAGGGCATGGAGCTCTTGATTAGGAAGAGTGTTGAGGAGAGACACAGTAGCAAATATGGTTCTGTTAGTCCCTAATATCTGAGACTTTGCAGTCTTGTTGCTGTCTTACTGTAACATTTTTTTTAATTCAGAAATGTAGAAATTAGAAAGCTCAATTTCTTCTTGGAAGGTCTCCTGCTTATTGGTAAAGAACATACATTCTGCCATTTGTGATGCATTTTTCTGCTATTATCCATGTTCCATCATTCAAACTGGAGAAAGCATAGAGTGGAGTGTATGCTGGGAAATGTTCTCTTTAAATAAAGCAGAAGAATGAATGACGAGTAGGATGTTTATTATTGATCTCACAGATGTTTTTGCAGTCTGCAATATGAACACGTATGGATTACTGGTAAAGCTGGGAAGCAAATTACATTTTCTTTTATCGTTTTTAAAAATGAAGTTAGGGCTTATGAAAGGTACTGGATTCAGACTCTGGGGACCTAACTTCTCTGTTTAGCCAGGAAATAGATATTGTACATCACAAGCAGAGGCAGTGGAAGTATTAAAGACCTCAAAGTTGTCATGCAGCATGTCTGTACTTCTTCTTGACCAACTCAAGATACCAATAGGGAAGTGTACTCTGTGCACAAACTTAGTCCTATGTCTTTCTTCTGGAATACATAAGTGAAAATACACAATAATGATGTTGGCTGTAGTTTTATTGACAAGAACTTCTGTTCACTACAATCTGACTTAGAAATGCCAGATTCATATTAGGATTTTTTTTTGTCTTTGTTGTTTAGCCTAGATTACTTTCCAGCTCTTTGCATATGAGCATTTCTAATTTTTCAACTGTTAAATGGTATGCCTGTACCCATGCCCTGTATAGCTGGCTGGGAATTAACCAAAACAAGTGTGTTGTATATTTCTTGTCTGTGGAAAGGAACACAAACATGACATATTTTCAACAGGTGCATGTCTTGCTTTTTGCTAGTGGATTATGGACAGTAATATTGTGTGTTCCTATTAAGAATTTAAAGGAGTAAAAAATATTTCCTGTGTGGGAAAAATTACCCAATACAGGTATATTTCCCCATGAAACATGTACGTAGGTATACCATTTGTGTCACAAGTATCCACAAACATTTTCATGCAGCAGATAAATAAAATGAAGTTGGTGAAGCAAAACAATGAGGGATTTTTCTTATACTTCAGCCTGTGTGTTTTTTAGCTTTGTATAAATAATTCTAGAACTGGCTATGTTGACTAAACATGATATATGCAAATGAGGGTGCAGTTTGTGAGCAATGATAAAGCTAAACCCAATGTAATTCACTGGTTTATTGTCTTTACAAAAAACAGTGGGAAATTACATACAAAGCTTCATATTTTTCTATGAATTGTGCTTTAGGATTTACATTCAAGACAGCTAGGTATTATGCAAAAGTAAGTATTCTGGTTAGATGAAAGTGCATTTTGGCTGTCGTAACGTCATCCGCTGAGTTTCTGGGAGTTAGGTGAACCTAGACACTTGATTGAGAAAAAGAAGAGAGGCTGTTTACCTTCGTAGCATGGGGAAGAGAAGAGCAAAGCAATAGTTCTCTTCTTCTGTTGACAAATATAGTGGTGTTACTGATAATTTAAGACCGTATGTTTCACAGTAAGATTTTCCTGCCAGCTTTGCACTGTTTGTTTGGGGTTTTTTTGCTGTTACTCTGAGATGTTGTGGGATGAGGACAAAATAAATAAGACACATGTAGAAGAAAGGCTTGATTGGCTTTTTGCTAGAAATATTTTTTAAATTAAGAATAAGTGCCCATCCAAGCTGGGGGTGGCTAGTTAAATATCACAGAATCAATGCAATTATAAAAGCATGTATTTTACCTTAAAATATATATGTTGTTTAGGCTTCTTTAATAAATGTTTTCTGAATTCTTTCCTGTAGTTTTCTGTGCTTAAATTCCAGCTGCAATAATTTTTCTTAGCCTAATTTTTAAAACCTTTTCTAATGTATTCCTTGTACTACTGCATTTTACTGCCTCAGAAACTAAATGGCAGTTTTAACAGTAACAAAAAGCACTATGATTATAGAATACCCAGTTTGAAATGTGTGATACATCACTTCGTATTCAAGGGAAAGTTATTGTATCTAGAATTATAAAGTTAAATTAAGGTTCTGCCTCTGACATTACAAAGTACTGTAATACTGATTTTTAAATTTTTAAATTGCACTTAAAACATAGAACATATGACTAGACAGATAATCTATCAACTGTTGATAACTGTCTAGATACAACTTCATTATTTCTGTCTTTTCACTGCTAGCATATACATGTTAGTACTTGGAAATGCTAACAGTAATTTTTTTAGAGAG